CTCTCTGTGTCATGCGCTCTCCCGTCTATTGTCTAGAATCACCCTCCTTGTTAACTCATTATTAGTTTGTCGTGTTCACCTGTGTGTCAATTTACTTTTGCTTTATAACACCCCTCATGTTTTCAGTCCTTTGCCAGTTCGTCGTCGATATTACTCTGTCTTGTTGTTTCCAGTCCTGCTTTGTCCTGCCAGCCCTGTCAAGTTTGTTTTTGCCTTTTTATTTATGTTTTCCCACTCGGGGTAGTTTTGTTTTGCCTTTTATTTTTATTTGTATTTTATAATAAATCCTACATTTTCTGCAATTGAGTCCTCGCTCCTTTTTCCCCTCACCGACCGTGACAGTAGCATTACAACAAAACATGTTTTATAGTGAGGGAGGCTTGTCACAAGCTGTTTCCATCCAAAGTCGCAAATTAGATTAATGCGCAAAACCGTAATATGGAATAAAACCTCGGCAAATGAAGCAGTGTTTCACTTCCTGATAAACAAATATCAAAGCAAATATCAGCCAGAGAAATGTAGTTCAGCGAGTTGGAATTTGCCACTGAGGTGTTTTTTCCTCTCTAATAAATGATAATAAAGACAAAACACAATGAACGGGGTGAAAGCTATGGCCTTTGGAGGTGTGAGATGCTCTTTGAGAGCTCAAGACAGTTCTGGAGGAAATAATAATAGAAAAATAGTAATACTGAAGCATTTTCATGACGGACGGACGGCTGAGGCCTTTTACAATCAGCAAAACAACATTTCAGATTTGAAAGGATGTCAAGCTGGAAACATGGAAAGCTGCAACTGAACATTAATGCAAAATCTCTGAAACACACATCTATATCTGATCATCTCACAACTCCAAAAGCAACTCATTGTGCCACCACATTGTGCTCATTGCATTTTGTCTTCATCTGCTGAATTATTAGAGAAGAACAATTGTCACGTTAGCGTGATCAAAACAGGAACGAAAAGGTGTGGATCCAAGTGCATTCCAAGTTGATTATCAAAAGAATCTTCAGTATGAGAAGTAAAAGCAGGAGGGTTTTAGGACATGGATTACACCAAATATAATATGTAAGGATAAAACATTTCAAGGCAAACAAACACACTCTTAGTCAGCAATGCACGTGCGATCACTTGTCCATCGATTGATGCAAGTGATGATATAAGTGATGTAAAATAATCATTTTCAAAATTATAAAAAATATTTGCGTACTGACCAGCGGGAAACTCACGATCATAGATACATGTATATACATCTGTGGCTCCCGATGGCCAGTCCTCCACTGCACCTTTGTCCCTCATTCATTTCAAAGGAGCGCTACCCTGTACAAAAATAGCGACTCTATTGACATATTCCGTCCAATAGACAACAACAGTGTAGGTGATGTCTAATGTAAATATTCATGTTTTTACTCGACTTCTCTCGGCATCCCTCCATCACCCCAACTCTACAATCTTAAACCCAATACCTACTTAAATTGGAGGAGGGGGGCATTCTGGAGTCGGGCTAGACACTGTGCTTTGCTGGAAGGTCATCCGCTGCATAAGACATATGCTGGATAAGTTGCTGTGGCGACCCCTGATTAATATAGATCTTGTGCATGGGCTTTGATAGATTATAGTAGTAATCAGTCATGAATCGAAATTAAATGATCCATTTCTCTGGTCAATGATCAGTTAACAAGCATCAGTTGTCGGTTAAACAAAAAAACAGAAATAAAATCCCAAACCTTTTAGGGGCTCCACCGCAGTACATGCCTATCTGCATCATCAATGGGTGCTTTACTAAGCTGTGACACTACATTTACTAGACCATTTGATTTAATGAGCTATTATTCTACCCAGACACGTTTATAAAACCAAGACAAGAGAGAAAGTGTTAAGAGTGATTCAATAAAGGCAGAATAAAATGTAATCATCATGGTTCAGTCAATGTGAAAATGGGCTGATTTCCTTAAAATGACTCTCTCTGTGATTCACTCTTCAGTGGTTCTACATTTCTTTCTTTCACTAAACACAAAACAAGATATTCTGAAGAATGACAGATATAAGCACACAATGACATCCAAAAAACTTAAAAAAAGACAAAACTTCATTACCCCACAGTATACTCTCTTTTGTCCTGACAAAATATATCTATTAAATAAAAAAAACGTAATTTTTGACAAATAGAAGTAGCACCGCACAATATATGATTTCAGCATCAATATCACAATGTGATCATTCGCAATAGTCACACAATATATATATGAGCAATTCCAGCATTACAAATGTGACATTTGCAGTAAAAACTCAAAACATAAATTCACTTTCTGTAAATTCACTTTCACTTTTCTGAAACTTCTGTTTATATTTTCAATAACAATTGACCACAGAGTTGTGGGATCAGAAAAATATCAATCTGTAAACATATTTTATATTTTAAATGAGGAAAATAAACGTGCGTTATGTTGTGACCAAAAAACTATGTGAGTTTACAGAATAAAACATACTTTGTAGAGATTCTGTGAATTAAACTGCACAAGCCAAAAGAAACAATGCTCATCAAAAGGATAAGAGTTGGCTCTCCACAGACCTTTTTCATGGCTGCTGCATGGAGGGCGCTATAGCGACCAGCGTCTTCCGGTAGAATGCTAAAAACTTCCGTTTACAGCATGTACAACTGGTAATTTGCGCTCCGAAAATGGGTTTCAATAGCGTTTTTAATGGATAACAGAGTGTTTTTGTGACACACAACTTAGAAATGTGTCTATTAAAGCCGTTATAATCTGTCACATGTGGTTCAAGCGCGTCAAAAATACGAGAAAAACGTTCTCCTAGTTTACGTGTCTGCCGTCAGAAATACTGTGTGTGTGTTTTCCCGGCCTGTCAGCTGTTAGCTCAGCGGCTCTTTAACACACACAAACACACACACACACACCACACACACAGAGAGAGAGAGAGAGAGAGAGAGAGAGAGCAAACCAGAGTACTGGCATGAAACTTAACAGGTATGAAAGTTGTGCAATTTACAAAAATGAGCAATAAAAGTCTGTTATTGATCCTCTGCTGCTGATTTGCTGTTCATTCTAATCGCGAGCCGTTTGTGTTTCATGTCGTGTGTTGTTTTTACCACGGTGTGTTTTTCTGTCATGTGAAATGACACTAGCCTATATTTTCACGTTGTCACAGTTATTAAATCAGTGTGTCAGTGGCACAGTACAGGCTACGTGTGTGTGTCAAACATTTTGGTGAATTACATTAGTTTGGGCTGGCTATTTATTTGAAATAAAGAGAAAATGTTGACTTTAGCGATGACGAGGCTTCATTTAAACTGCAGAAGATGCCGTCTGACGAGGGGAAAACGCCTCACAGCAGCTGTTTTCCATCCTATTAGATCGCATTTCTTTAAATGATCAGTCCAGGAGATGATGCTGATGGACAACAGTATTAGTTCAAAGATGATAAAAGCAGGTAAAATAGATTAAAACTATCGTTTCAAAACTGTCCAAATGTGACTGTTTACACGCATCAGCTGCCGAACGGAATTTCTTCGCTTTCTCCTTGCGCATACACGCAAAGCATCATGGGTCATTTTGCGTTCCAAGAAAAAGGTCTATAGACGAAACATGATTGATTTTATTTCATTTAATATTTTTGCATTTATGAGGAAAAAGTGTTGTTATGGATGTGACATCTGTCTGTTATGTTTGTGACCGATGTGAAATTTACATTTGTGTGACTTTGGTAAATCAAATATAATAATTTGAAAGCACTGACAGAGACAGTTTTGAGTATTTCTAAAGTACTGTAAAATACTTGCTAACACAAAAAAACTTATATGTATGCATACATTTTATGGAGATGCACTCCCACCGCAGATCCTCCCAATTGATCTAACATTATAGATTCTTTGCAAATAGACATATTAAGTCATCTGGTGAAACTGTATTCATATGGCTATATATATATTGCAAAATAAAAAAAAATAATCGCAATATTGGATTTTTTTAATATCGTGCAGCCCTAAATTAAAGAGAGAACTGTCATTATAAGCAGAATTCAGACACAGATGTGCTTTTTTTTTAGCTTCGAAGTTAAACTTAAGAGACAATGGAAGTTGTTAATGTTGATGAAATGTGTTGAATATAAAAATATACTGCAAAAAATAACCATTACTTAGTATTCTGTATTATGTTATTCATGATTTTATTGTTTATTTCTGCTTTTGAATTGCATTATGGGATCTTGAGCTTTCTTCCAACAGTTTTCAAGCTTTAAAGGTTTAAAAAGTGACATTTATGAATAGGGTCGGGCCAATAAACATTATACTATATTAAAATCGCGATAACATTTATGTCAATAACAATAAGTTCTGGACTTTTTTACTCTATATTGATCTAAAAGCCGATCACACAGCAGAAATGTGCAACAATGGGAATTTAGAAGTGTATTGTTATTAGAGATGTACCCAATTTTCGGCTGCCAAAAATTTATCAGCCGAAAATATGTTACGCCATTTAAAGGACTTTCTCATTTTTGTAGCTTCAGTCATTGTGGGGTACTCTTTTAAATCTGGAAGCATTAACAACTGATATCGAAATACATATTGTAGTTCAATATAAAAAAATTATTATTGAGATAATTTTTACCATATTACCGAACCCTATTTATGAACATTTTAAAATAGTTTAAAGTGATATATTGTCTAGTCGGTGTAGTGTATATTTTGCTACAACAACTTTGTAATAAACTGCCAGTACCTGGACTCATTTTTCTAGATATTATCTCCGATACATATTATTTTAAACTACTAAAATATCACTAAAAGTCACTGTTAAATTGTACAGTTGAGTTTTTAACATCAGAAGTGGACAGAGCAGAGATCAACATCCCATAATGCAATTCCCAACCCTAAATAAACGAAAAACGCTTTACAAAATACAGAAACTGTTCATTAACAAATATTTTTACAGTGTAATATGACTCAAGTATTTAATCTGCTTTTATTATTTCTGCATTTCTAGGGTCATGTGCTGATGATGAGGTCGTGCACAAAGCTGTCGGAGACTCACTGGATTTACCTGCTAATCAACCAAAAGACAATCTAAATGTAGAATGGAAATTTAATGGGGACACATTTGCTGAGTATGAAGAAAATCAGTTCAAACCAGTGGAACAATCATTATTTCCTGAAAGGATACAGCAGAATAATGACAATATCAGTGTAACAATAGAGAATCTAAAACATCAGGATTCTGGAAACTTCACAATTGTTGCAAAGAAAGTAGGAGGTCGTCAACATCCAACAAAACTGATCGTGCTGCATGTTCATGGTGAGTTTAATTACTTTTATTCTGGCAGCATATTACTATAAAACTACACAACAAGATAAACATTTAAGAACTGACTAACATGTTTGTATAATTAGAGGAAAAAAGTGCAAAAAAATTACAAATCAAATCACTTTCATTGTTTTTTTATGATGCTGTGACAATAAAAGGGATTTGATGTGAACACTTTTTCACTGCTGCTGCCACTGAGTTCTGATCTGGCTAATTTTGCAATATGTGGGTAGGATTGTTTGTTCATCTTCCACCAGTCAAGAACATTCATTTAATTTTCCATGACAGCGGTTTCAGTGTAGTGAGTGACCTCTTCATCTTCCCTGTCAGCTCGCTGTACATTGCTGTTTAGTGCTCTACCGTAATACGCAGTGTATGAGCGACCGCCGAAATACCTTGGCGGCTAGAATGACCGTTCATATTGAACTAGCAGCTGGCCTGACCGCAGTCAAAATTTACTCTTCTTGACTTCTCCGTCATCATTTGTTTCACCTTTAAAGAGATGGATTTTAATGTTGTAAAAAACGATTTGATTACTTCCTCGCGCTAATCGAAATGCATCACATGACTGTTTATTTACTGCGCAAGCCCAAGCCTGACCCTGTCTAAAAGGTGTTCAGGCGTTGGGTTGGAGCAAAGATCTTCAGCTCTAGTCTGAACTAATCATTTAACATTGTTAGGTCTAGCTGCAAACAATGCAGGGATTAACCTGGACCCGCTATGACTAGCTGCTACAACGTCCCGCAGGTGTTATCCTCCTTTCATGTGCGATTCGACGGCTTTGAGCCCCATGATCCCTAACGAAAAAGCCTTTTTGCAGAGTTTACACATTGCCTCATCGCCACGTCGTTAAATTGACACTTTCCCATCTTTGCATTTTGAACCTCACCTCGACAACTGCGTAATGACAGCATGCAGGTGCACACCGCCATAAGGGTCTGTAGCCGACCTACCGTAATAAGCTAATAAATCACGGAGATGGTCATTTCTCTACTGTTTCATACACACTAATTTGATCAACTATTAGATTTTTACAGTGGACCACTGTGCTTCCCTATCGTCATTAAGGACACTGGCTGAAAACGTAATACCTACTGCCCCTTTATGTTAAATTTAAGACAATTTAAGACCTTAATTTCCCGGATTTTAATTTAAGACATTTTAGGACTTTTTAAAGACCCGCGGTTTTTAAGGACGCAGTGGCGCAGTAGGTAGTGCTGTCGCCTCACAGCAAGAAGGTCGCTGGGTCGCAGGTTCAAGCTTCGGCTGGGTCAGTTGGCATTTCTGTGTGGAGTTTGCATGTTCTCTCTGTGTTCGCGTGGGTTTCCTCCGGGTGCTCCGGTTTCCCCCACAGTCCAAAGACATGCTGTACAGGTGAATTGGGTAGGCTAAATTGTCCGAAGTGTATGAGTGTGAATGTTTCCCAGAGATAGCTGGAAGGGCTGGAAGGGCATAAAAACGTGCTGGCGGTTCATTCCGCTGTGGCGACTCTGGATTAATAAGGGGACTAAGCTGATAAGAAAATGAATGAATGAATGAAACATCATCATTATTATAATTAATAATATTATTATTCCTAAAGTTATCCTGACAAACTATATATCATATGCATATGGCAAACATGTATAAACTCAAAAGACAAGGTGACAGACAATTGGTAAAATAATAATAAAACATTCAGAAAATAAAATATAGAATTTCATTAACAAATGAACTCTAAACTAAAGTAAAATATAAGTGACAGTGAATTCTTTAAATGATTAGAAATACATTAAAATTATTGGTGGGCAACGTGGAATGATGTGGTTATTTCAGTCATGTAAATAAAATTATATATATTTTTTTTAATTCTTTGCCACATTGATAATACATAAAAATGTGAAAAAACACACTGGTTATGATTAAGCTGTAAGCAAATATTTTTATCTGTATTTAAAACTGTCATGACTGTTTGTCCACAAGATGCCACTGTAGTTGACCAGCTACTCCCAGCGAACTACAGTGGCTTAAGAACTACATATCCACACATTCCTTCGTGCATACACCCGGTCTTTCATATACACTGATTGCAATCACAGCTGTCTCTGTTTCCCCGTTAATTACCTGGACTATACAGTATATTCAACTATTCCACCTCTGTTTGTTAGTTCGTCGTTCGTCTTTGTCGGTATGTTGGTTCCTGCTTCCAGTCTGTATCCTGTTATTCTTGTTAAAGTCTAGTTCAAGTTTAATACTGTTTGAGTCCTCATTTGTTTGTTTTGTTTGTTACTTTGGATTTTTGTCACTTTCTCTGCAAAATACTATATTAAACTGCACTTGGATTCTACAACCTGTTTTTGTTGCTGTTTTGATCACCCTAACGTGACAAAAACAGAACAAAAAAAATGTTATCAGAATAAGTGGCTAAAAAAATATGTACACTGAATATAGATTTCAAAATGGAGCCTATTATGCATAATAATTTTTTATAAGGGGTTTAACCAGCCTCTAAATGGTATAAATTAATTAAATTTATTTGTAATAATAAACGGTCTGCAGAAACATTTTGACTGACATTCAACCCTTTAAAGGGGCACGAAACACCAAAACACATGTTTTGAGCTGTTAACAGTCATATATGTGTCCCACACTGCCATAAACACTATTAAGACACATAAATTACCGTAAAAAGGTAAAATTAATTACTTTTGCGTTATTTTGAGCAAATTCGTACTTCCGGTTTGAAACTAATTTTTGAAGCTGCGTCACGGCCATGAGATCTTAGCGTGTATTCCAGCGTGTAGACTGGACGTCTGTACCTGGGTGTTCCGTATTACGTCTCTGAGTGCGTTGCATTCATTCATGAGTATGGCTTGGTTCAAACCAATCAGCGCGCTTCATTATGTATGCGCTGCAATTTCATTAATATGCATGCTAGATTTCTTAGACTGTCCCTGAAACAGTGTTCAGACGGCAGAGAGACGACATGCGTCGTGTTGCCAAAAGTTGTGGGAAAAGAAACAGAATTGTTTGGAGATGCGGATCGCAAGTGTTGCTTTTATATTGTGAAGGTTCTGTTTCATTTTCTCTCTATGAAATGCTGCTGGACTCACGTGTGGATCAGAGCACGTGGTGCGCGGCTGAAATGTGTTTGTTTGGAACATTTTTTACTCGAGAGCATTTCTCATCAATGGTGAGATCCGGATTTGCTGCTCGTCTCCTTTACAAAAAAGACGCAGGTACAGTACGTGTTGATTATTCTCACTACAGATTCGGTAAGTGTGTGCAATCAGTGCCCTTTCTTTGTTCATTCAGATGGCAAAGTTATAGTTGGTATGGTCAGCTGTACTCTTTCAGTGTTTAAAGACAGACCTTAGTCAAAATGATTTCTAAGTTACTTAGTTTACAGTACGTTAATATCACTACAATATTGAAAGATCCGCTGTAAATGCTGCTCTCTGAGTGTAAACACGTGAACACTGTAAGCAAACTTTTGCCGACCGTCGTGTTGAATGTTGTGCCACATTTTGTGACAGGATAGTCTACACACACACACGGCTTTCTGACCTACTGAGTGCATCCGAGTTACAGAGAAATGCAGAGGCTTTTTTGCCTGTTATATGTCATGCGGTATCAAACATTTCACCGTCATTAAACACACCTCTCCCTTGCGTGTGTGTGTTTTTCCTCGGTCAGCAGCGCGTGCACAAATGGCAACTCCCATTTTTATTCAAACCCTGCCCATTTTCCCTCCCCCGACACTCCCACCCAAACAGAGCTAGACACACCCACTTTCCTGACTTTTTCCAAACTAGAGGTGTGAAAACATCCTGCTGAAACAGGGGGTTTCATGGCCCTTTAAGAAGGAAAGCCCTGCCCATGCTGACACACAGGCATTTGTAGCTCTGCCCTCTTTTGAAAAGAACACAATCTCATTTGAATTTAAAGTGACAGTCACTAAAATAACACATTTAGGATCAAGCCTATATAATGGTCAGTTTCAGAGAGTTATAATATCTGTGCAATATCTGTGGGCTATTTTGAACTGAACACCAAAGGGGGTTTGTAACATACACACTCTAGGGATATCAGAGACCTGTTTACATCTTGTAAAAATAGATAAACCTCCATAAAAAGATGGCAAGCTTTTACCTGTTTTGTGGAAACATGCAAAGTGTGGTATATGAGCCAACTGACCATGGCAGAAAAAGTGTGATTACAAATCATTAACTGCATTAGGTTATTTTGTTGAATTCAATTGGTGTTGTGCAAAAAACTGCAAGAAAATAATCCTTTATTTGTTGACAAAATGTCCTTGTCAATATTATTCAAGTTAAAAGTAACAAAGTTGTTGTCGTCACACTTCCCCCCCTAGTGAGTCTGGTTCTCTCAAGGTTTTTTTTTCTTCACTTTCCTATTGGTGAAGTTTTTTATTTTGCCTCTCCGCTGTCGCCACTGGCTTGCATGGTTCAGGATCTGAACAGCTACTCATCATTGAATTCACTCTTCAGTGTTGGACTCTCAATAATGACTTCAAACCACACTGAACTGAGCTAAACTGAACTTAAACACTAAATGAACTACCCTGATCCAGTTACTATGACCATTTACAGTATGTGAAGCTGCTTTGACACAATCTACATTGTAAAAGCGCTATACAAATAAAGCTGAATTGAATTGAATAGTGTTCATTTTACCTGCAAACTGCAGTCAAACATGTTTCATAAAAATGTAAGTTGAAGCACATGTTTTCTATGAACCTGTGTTAAAACAACAGTATGCAGCAGCAAGATCTGAACATGTCTCAAATGCCACACTCTGTATGCACTTGGGTTGCTTACAATGGGGATCAAATGCATGTCTTTTAAGTCTGAGACCGTAGTGTTTCTCATTTGCCATCTTAGCTTTATAAGGGTGCACCCATGAAATTATCATCAGCTGAAAGTGTTTGGTATTTAAAACATGTACTGTTACACCGCTAGTATATTCAACTAACTGCTGTATATAATTCTCCAACAGATCGCGTCAAAAATGTGCAGATTGACTACAAGATTTCCCGTCTGTCAAAAAACTGCACGTTTCATCTCCATTGTGAAACACTGGATGATCTGAACTCGTCCTACAGCTGGAGCAGTGATCAGGGCAAGAGTCTCGGACCGCAGCTAAACATCAGCCTCCATCCAGCAGAGAGCAGGAAAGTCTCATGCACAGCGAACAACACTGTCAGCCAAAAGAGCACTGAGAAGACTCTAGTGTGCACTGAGGAATCTAAATATACAGGTACAGGTCTGGATTGAAATAATGAACTACTCTAGTCACAATGAATATACATTTACCCATTTTTATGGAGTTTATTATTGTCAATTTATTTGTGCTATTTTTTTTATTATTATTTGATCAAAATAACTTCTGCGACCATTTTATAGAGGTCACTCACTGGAGGTCCACTAATAGCAAAACCACACTTATCCAATCGTTTTCAATTCAATGCATCATGAGCTTCATTTTTTGTTTTGTACCATTCGTGAGGTCCACTTGTAAAGTTAGCAAGATTTACATAAATATTATAGTTTAGTTTGCATGTTTAACAGCAGACAGCGCTCTAGGCTAGTTTTGAACAGCAGACAGCGCTCTAATTAGGGCTGCTCGATTATGGGAAAAATAATAATCATGTTTTTTTTAGGTCATAACTGTAATCATGATTATTCAAAACGATTATCAGTTGAACTCAAAATTATTTGCCCTTCAAAGTCTTGAATTAAAAAGCTTGTTGAATGTCACAAACTGAAAAAAATAATACACCGTATTAACAAGTTCTTGATTTTAATGACTTGAATTCCAGGGTTTGTATTTTTAGGTGCTGAAATTTAACATATCTGTTTATTTAAGCTGTGAATATTTCAACAAAAAAATATTTCAAACACGTTTTCAAACTAAAAAATTCAATAATTCATATTAAATTTTCAGATTTCACTTACAAAATATTCAATACCCTTTAAAAATACGATGTATAATATTCAAAAGGCAATCTTCAGCTCATTTTATTTCAGTTCAAATATTCGCTTCCATAAATTCAGTGGATCAAATTCGACTGATAACATTACAATGACATCGAATGATTCAACATTACATCCGGGAACTGCAGGAGAAGCAATAGATTGCAGATTGAAGATCGCCAGCTGCTCTAGCTTTCACCAGCAGGTGGAGAAGGAATAATGTAAGATTTTTAACCCAGTAAACAGGCGAGAAAAAGGCTAATAAAGGCACAAAAGTAGCATTTAATTTTAATATCAATGCCTTGAACATTATAAATAATAAAAAGTATGAGTAAAATGAGTAAATGAGGTTTTGGTCATCTATATTTGCCCTTATGTAACGGAAGCCAGCTGGTAATCGCGTAAATCTCACTCCTCGCATCCAACGACAGGTATGATTTAAGGTTGGTTATGGATGGGCCGTCTAATTTAAAATAATTTAACATGCGATTGCATTTAAGGGGCGTCTTCAGTTATTCACACAGAACCGTCTAATATGGCATAACTATAAGGAGTAATGTTTGCGCTGTTTAAACGCAGCTATGTCAGGATTGGGATTGACTGACTGACTGAAAGGTGCGTGATTCGTGAGGCCAGCAAACACGACGTATAGCCGTTTCACTTGACTTCAGGATGCATTAATATCACTCTGTAGGTCTATTAGAGAAATTCATAAATATTCCTAGCAAATCTTATAAATGTTGGAGACATACCCATAACATAAAGACACTAAATCACACTTCAGCAGCGTTTAATTGAGAGCGCACAAGAAGATCTGCGCTTAAGCAGCGTATATTTGAGTGCAAGAGGTTTGTGCACGAGCAGAGGAAATCGGCGCACAAGCACAGAGATTCAAATGCTCCTAGGCTATTACATAAATGCAATCCCGACTTGTAATACTGCGCTCACTCTACTGCGATCTACTGCGCTGGTAGATCTGAGTAAAAAAGGCCTACCAACACAGCTGGAAAAAATCCTAGAGGAAACACTGTGATGCAATAATTGTTCATCTCGATTAATGGTTTTTCATAATCGTTAGAAGCCAAAATGAAAACCAGATTTTCGATTAATTGCACAGCCCTAGCTCTAATGCCTTGTTTCCAGTGAGTACAGTACAATACGGTTAAGGTACAGTTCAGTATGGGTGACCTTTATCAGAATTGTGTCTCCACTGCGGTACCCTTTTGTTGGGCGTGGTGTTCGACAGAAATGTAATGTAATGTGTATGTATATAGCGCATTTATTGTGTATGGCCATACACCCAAAGCGCTTCACAATCATGAGGGGGGTCTCTCCACAACACCACCAGTGTGCAGCTCCACTTGGATGATGTGACGGCAGCCACAGGACAACAGCGCCAGTGCTTCCCCACACACCAGCTATTGGTGGAGAGGAGAGACAGTGATCGAGCCAATTCGGTGGAAGGGGATGATTGGGAAGCCATGATCATAAGGGCTGATAGAGGGACTTTGGCCAGGGCACCGGGGTTACACCCCTGCTCTTTCACAAGAAGTGCCATGGGATTTTTAATGACCACAGAGAGTCAGGACCTCGGTTTAACGTCTCATCCGAAAGACGGCACCCACTGACAGTATAGTGTCCCCTTCACTTTTACTGGGGCTTTAGGACTCCCACAGACCACAGGTTGAGCGCCCCCTGCTGGCCTCACTAACACCACTTCCAACAGCATCCCAGTGTTCCCTAGTGGTCTCCCATCCAGGTACTGACCAGGCTCAGCCCTGCTTAGCTTCAGTGAGTAACCGGTCTTGGGCTGCAGGGTAACATGGCTGTGGCTAGACAGAAAGCTGCAGTCGACGTCATTCTCGCTTGAAGTTCACATATCGTATGAGAAGCACTTCTTACTAAACAAATGCTTTACATACATGAATACTCATGTATGAATAAATGTTAAAGAGTCCCTATTATGCATTATAAAGGTCATATTTTGGTTTTAGGGGTCTCCAACAACATGCTGATTTGCGTTCAAGATCAAAAAACATGTCTTGCAATATGCATTTATTTTTACCTAATTATCTCAATGACTCCCATTTGATTCGCTCAGCAATTCATTTGTTCCCAAACCCCTCCTTAAGCCTGGTTTATACTTCTGCATCAAGTGATCAGCGTGACCTACGGCGCATGCAACGCGCATAGCTGTGCATTTATACTTCTCCGTGCTCTTTCTGCTGCTCTGCAATAACACTTCTGAAACGCTAGCTGGCAGTGAGGTGTTAATGTTCCTCTGTGTCGAGTTTCTTGGCTGGTGTTTTGTTTTTTCTGAGCGCTTCCTGAATGTACAAGTGGTTCAAACTCGCTCATTTTAAGGCGGGAACCAGCAGACGTGCAACAACTTTAATCATAAGGTAAACACAACAAAACTTTCCATTCGGAGCTGCTTCACGGGACTCCACACTTGTAAACAATCACTCCATTGGGCGTAGCATACGTATGCATTTGACGCAGAAGTATAAATCAGCCTTTAGTGTGAGGCTAATCTGCGCTGATTGGTCTGATGACCCAGTCTGTTGTGATTGGTCGACTGCGTTCAGTGCAGTAGTCAGAGCAGAGAGTGTGGGAGAACCCAATGCAGAAATGCAACAAATCAATGCAGTCAAACACCAGCATATAGTCTACTCTCAACCCTAGCCCCAAGTAATAACAATGGCACACATTCAGTATTAATCCACACATTGGCAAAATTGGCCGCGCCACACATGTGTGAACAGCGTCATGTTTTAATGTGGTTTCGGACGCTATATGTGAGGAGCCCCATGCAGATTTAGCCTGAGGCCCCGTTTACACTAGTGCGTTTTAGTTTGAAAACGCATAAGTTTTGCTACGGTTACGCCATCCGTCCACACTACGCCGGAGTTCTCGAGCGCCGAAAACGGAGCTAACTTCTCGTAAGTTAAGACTTCGCAAGTTTGATCAAGGCTGCAGTCTCCCCCTTCTCAGTTTGATATGGAAAACATACCGAGGACACGGGTAAATCTTCAAAGGGAACAGTGTACTTTATAACTTCATTCACATCACCTTGGCTACGTTGTTTCACTTTCTCAACAACAAAATGTAAACATGATTTAAGGAACTGCCTATTTTCTTTTTAATATTAGCAACTTAACAGACAGCAGAAATGTTGAGGCGTCGTGCTGCATAATGAGCGTCATCTTCACTGTGTGGATATTTATAACAAAACGGAGCCGATAACAACTGTTGCCTTTCAATTTCAGTGAAAATACGAAACGCACCCTCTCTTTTGCTGAATATCAGTTTTAATAATCGATAATTATAAAAGTATAACATACAATAAGTTTATACATTGTAAGAAATAAAGGCAAGCGATCAGTCAATGTACCTGGATTAATCATTAACTTATCTTTGGCTTAACCAAAACATGTTACCCGTGAACAAGTAGCTTAATAGATTCCAATGACCAAAGTCAGGGAATATGTCGTTAGATAAAGACAACAACATGAATGAAATATCACGTTTAGCAAATATAGTGAGATTAGATCCAGCGGGAGATGCGTGATGAGCAGTCCGACAAGCAGAGCTCTCATCTGGGTAGAAATGCTGGAGCGCTTGCCCGAGAGCGTCTGTGTGGTCACGTGATGTGCGTTTTCAGCGTTTTGGTGTGGACGGAGAGCTGTTCAGAAACGCTGGGTAAAACGCGAGTGTGGACGCGGATCGTTTTCATTCTACAACGCCGTTTTAAAACTAAAACGCACTAGTGTAAACGGGGCCTGAGAGATACAGTATAAGCACTGATCTGTAATAGATACGTGATTACAAGCCACTCGGAATGATTACAAGTTACAACAAACTATTACTGTTTCAGCAAACTTAACCATGAGCTGGATGTTTTCATTCACTTAATGCTGCATGGAAGGTAATTTTCAAAAACCCTCTTTAATTACTACAGTATGAACAGGACTTCATTATAGCTGCAGAACAATGATAATGCGAAATAGCCTACTGTACTGTGTGTGCTTATATAAAATAAACAAAACATACATTTGTTTTAGAGATATATACAGTGTCTAAAATTTTACCAGTTACAAAAAAAAAAAAAAAAACAACAACTTTAAAACATACATGTAGGCCTTATTTGGGTTCATATACGATACAAAACACATGTAGTCAATACAAACATCTCATCTTTATTCTTCACCAGCACATGTAACGTTTACATCTTAGAAAGTAGTCTGTCATTCTGAGTTCAAAATAGTCCAAAAGGAGATGATAATAGTTAAACATGGCAATTAGCTCATGTTTAAGGTTGCTGAAAGAATCGTTCGCTTCTTTGTTTTTTCGTGCTTCACTCTTGCGTTTGTCCGTTTCTGAAAGGATCGGATGTCAGAAGCACTTCAATAATCACTCGTACGTCATTATCATCAGCTCAAGAAGTTCGCTATTTTAAATATAGATGCACAGTGAGCACGCGGAAATAGAGCTTCTAGAGAAAGAGAAACCGTTCACGCTTTGCATGGCCTTGTGCATAACAACAGGACACGACAGATTCTGCTCTTCTTCTTGCCTTTGTGGCTGTACATCAAGATGACAACAAGGTTTGTTTTTTGCTCGGGTCGACCATGGCTCGTTATTATATGTATATATTATTACGCTGTAATCTCTCAGCTGTGTTTTGAATCATGGCGCTTCCTGCAATTCAATCCCTTGCAAAGCATGCTGGGAACTATCCATTGCGACTTATCAATTATTAAAACTGACTTAATATTACTAAGTTTGTGCCGATTAGAAAATACTTAAATATTCCGAGTAAATAAATATTAATATTGAACTCTTTCCACTCATTTCATTTATTACATCAAGTAAATGTGTAAAAATAAAAAAAATAAGAGTCAATTTATTAGATTTAACTCCACTAAAGTCATTTCTTTCAGTGTGTTCATCCTCCTGCTTGTGTACGTGCTAGTGACGCTTCTCTGTAAACCAATAGTGTTTAGCTGCGCATCTCACTCCGCCTTCTGGTGCCCTTTTGTTGTGCTAGGTACCCTTTGTAAAGTGTACCCAAAGAGTGGTACAGTTAGCTTTTTGGTACATTTTGACAGTAGAAACGGACATAAAACCGTACAGTACCACTGGTAACGGACCATAAGCTACTTTTAACTAGGCTAGTTCTTAACAGCAGACAGTGCTCTAGTCTAGTTTTAACTGCAGGTGGTGCTCTAGGTTACTTTTTAACCTCAGACAGTGCTCTAGGGTGGTTATTAGTCAAAGTCAGATTTATTGTCAATTCAACCACATGTACAGGACATATAGAGAATCGAAATTACATTACTCTTAGACCCTAGGTGCCTAACATATAGTGCTAATACAAAAAGTAGAGTTTTAAGGAAGAATTTACAATAAATACAATTGTACATAAAATGTAGTCTAAAAACATACGTAAAGAAAAAATTTGTAACTATACAATGACATTAAGGGCATATGGCAATACAAATCTTTAAATTGCCTTTTTAAATAATGAGATTAATGTGAACACAGCTCACAAACACTCTAGTACTTTGCTTAAAACTTTCATAACTGTAATAATGATTATTTTAGGTTCAAGTGGTATTTGTAGGTAATTGGGGCAGAGTGCAGCATAAAGCATATGGCGCCATCTGCTGTTAAAAACTAAGCCAAGAATGCATTTAGGGATGAATAGTCAAGAGCAGGGGTGGCACGGTGGCTCATTAGTTAGCACTGTCGCCTCACAGCAAGAAGGTCGCTGGTTCAAGTCCTGGCTGGTTAAGTTAGCATTTCTGTGTGGAGTTTGCATGTTCTCCCCGTGTTGGCGTGGGTTTCCTCTGGGTGCTTCAGTTTCCCCCACAATCCAATACACATGCGCTATAGGGGAATTGGGAAAAAAATAGCCCGTAGTGCATGAGTGTGTGTGTGTGTGTGTGTGTGTGTGTGTGTGTCTATGTGAGAGTGGGTGTATCCCAGTACAGGGTTGCAGCTGGAAGTGCATCAGCTGCGTAAAACATGCAAGAATAGTTGGCGGTTCATCCTGCTGTGGCGACCCTTGATAAATATGAGACTACGGCGAAAGAAAATGAATGAATGAATATTCATGGGTGCTGCTAAGGGGGGTTAAGTTAGGATGATTCTACAGGCACACACACTTTTAGGGTCCCCTGAGATACTATAAGAGGGCCCAGCCTCCTCCAATAACCACTATCATGTTTTATAGTATAATTACCTCATGTCAAATGATTAAGGGAGTTTTTATTTCTCGGTTCATGATCTTTAAATAAAAGCACGCTCCACCCAGCGGTTTCCTCACTCAATCACTCAGTTTCACAGTGAAATTTGGAAGAAAGAAATATAATAATTACTGCAGCACACAAACCCAATAAATACAAATGAACTTTCTAAACTATTTATTTATTCTCTAAAATTAATAAAAAGCACTAATAAGTCTAGATTATTGATTTTAAAAATAAATATAAATTAATAATCAGCAAAAAGAGCAGAAACCTGTACTACAGAAAGAAAACTGTAGTAGATGCTACTGTAGGACAAAGTTATACAAACGTAAAATTTAAGGTTCTTTACAGGTATTAATTAATCAATGAAAAAACTGTACAAAAGCACGCACATCTCTCTAAATTGGGTGCTCAGCCAAAACCGCAAAAAGTGCAAATAAATGTCAATCAAAGGCGGCAACACCAAGGCTCCAAAAATACAAATTTATTAAATTAAAAAGGCTGACACAGAGCGTGCCAGCAAGCTCTGTGTCAGCCTTTTTAATTTAATAAATTTGTATTTTTGGAGCCTTGGTGTTGCCGCCTTTGATTGACATTAATTAATCAATGAAATACATGATAAATCACTACAATATACTCATTCCACAAACGCTTCTCTAGAGATTATTCTTAGGTTCATGAAAATGATGTTTACACTAGAAAAGGTTTCTTTGGCATCACATTTACATTAATTAAACACACAAATTCATCCTAAACTTTTATGTAAGCATTTTACTGCATATCACACTGGAACAAATAAAATTTTAATTTAAACAACTTGCATATGAAGATAACAGAAGCACTTCACATCCCCACAGATCAGTCATAACAGCTTCATCATCACTATTAAGGCTCCTTTATTTACTTTTATTTTTATCAAGAGTCCACACTTAGCTGATGATTGATTATAAAGCTTGTTTGGCATGCTGTCCCGGGAGAGAGCCCTAAGCTTATAAGATCCTCGAGCCCGGGGCCCCCTCCTGTTGCAGGGCGAGAGGGGAGTTTGAGCTCAGGTAGGACTGGAGAACTCCCCTGCTGGAGTAGCTAATGAACAGATAGTGATTGCTCTTAAGAGATAACTACTTGCTAGGAGCATGTGTATGGTGTCGGATTAGTCAATTAACTTAAGTTGCATGTTTTTCGATGGTGGGAGAAAACCAGGGAACCTGGGGGAAACCCACGTGAGCATGGGGAGAACGTGTAAACTGCACACAGAAAGGTTGGCTGGCTTGGTAAGGACTAACCAGTGACGTTCTTGCTGTGAGGCAACAGTGAAAACCACTGGGAAAGGAGTAGGAAAGGAGTAGGAGTGGAAGGGGGGATTCTTCAAAATGAAGATGGCTGTAATATGGAACTAAGGGTATTTATAGTGGCTTAGGAATCGTCTGATTGGTGAATAGATAATGCAGGCCAGCTGTGTTCAATCATAAGCACATGATCCTCTAGAATTAGTTTATTAATAAACTCTACTTTAAGAGGGCCATTGCTGTTTTTTTATGTTAGATTCTTCAACATGCATGTTTTGGATTAGAAGTTGTTCCTTAATTGTGTTGTACTCATTAAACTCTTTCTTTAGGTTTCCGTCAAGAGCTCTGGTTGACTATAAGCATCAGTATCCTTGCTATTGTCATACTCAGCGGAATAATCATAGCGTGCTTTCGGTGGAGGAAGCGTAAAGGTGAGTTTACATGCAGAAACATGACAATATACAGTTTAAAATTATCAAAATCATCCAGCCTCCTGTCTAATACTTACCAAAACTTTCTCAAGTATTGTTTAACAGAAAGGAGCGGATATATTGATTTGGGGACCCCAAGCAATTCCAGCCAGGGAGCCCAATAGTCCTAAAACGCACCCTCTGTCCTTTCAATTGTTTTAATTTATTTATACTGGTTTTTTTTCCTCTCCTTCTCTACATTTTATCCTAATGTATTCTCTACTTTTGAAATTATTTGTTTTTGTAGATGTAATAATTGAAGTTTCAATTTTATTTGTTAAATCCTCACAGTACAAAATATAGAAAATGATTTTATTTTTATTTAGGTTTTTTATTTTTCACAAATTTGCAACAATTTCAAAAACTCTTTTTTTACATTGTCATTATGGGGTATTGTGTGTGAAATTTTGAGGAAATAAATGAACTCAAACTATTGTGGAATAAGGCTGGAACATAAACAAATGTGGAAAAAGAGAAGCGCTATCAATAGTTTCCGGATGCAATGTTTTTAGTAAAATATTATGTGCTGTCATCCAATGGTCTCTCAATTAGGCATGTGCCGGTATCACATTTTCATGCTGCGATTAATTGATTGAGCTTTTATCACGGTATACGGTATTATCACGGTATTGTAATTTTACAAGAGAAACAGGTAAAAAAACACAAAAAACTTCAGTTTCGTCAACGTAGTAACTTTAATAACTTTTTAATTAACTAAAAGTACTATAAACATTTAAATACAAATAAATATAAATAAAACAATACACAATATAAAAGTAAACTTAAGCAATTATATCAAAGTGAATGTGCAAACTGCAAAAGGACAACATTTGTTATATGTTTTTAAATAGATTTAAGAGCAAAAAAACAATTTTTAAAGAATCAACAATAAACATTTTCAACCAATTCCTGGTATCTCTTCTGGGCGGCCTGGCATATTTTAGTCCTCGAAATTAAAGTGCAAAAATGAGAGCATGTTCATTTTTTCTGGCTTGAGCTTTGAACGCTGAGGTGAGAGGATATGTCCACTGGCACTAAATACCTTCTCTGAAGGAACACTTGTTGCAGGAATGCAGACAAACTTAGCCAAGGTAGCAAGATGAGGAAGTTCTTCAGCATGCAAACTCCACCACTGCAATGGATCTGCCTCTGATTTTATTAGTGGCAGAGAAAGATACAGTTTGATCTCAGCTTCAGTCTTTGACTTCATGCTGCCCTTACCCTCCTGCTCCATGATGAAGGTCCATATGAAGCCTGACGCTGGAATGCCTCTTGAACTGTTGGCTGAACGATGGCTTCAGCTGAAGATGAACCAGCACTGCTAGATGCATGGCCACTCTGTAAAATAGGAATGAAAAATATTACTTCATACCTCTGATAATTTAAATAAAAGATGCTGTTCAGACAGAGAATACAAGCAAAGTAAATTTTTTCGTTTTTTTTGTTTTTAGGTTAAAAATAAACCAAGTTCCAACTTTCAACTAAATGCATCTGTCATTTGATACTATATTTTAGTAATAGAAGACACACGATGATGAGCTTAAGTTTTGCACTTTACTTGTACTCTCTTGTAAACATGTAAACATCAAGTTTACTCGCACTGTGTGAAAATGTATGATTGTGTTGCATTCCTTTTTTAGCTTAAAATCAAATTATTCTGCCTAATTTCCATTATTAAATTACAGAACTTACTTTTAGCTGAGTATTGTATTTTGTTGTTAAAATACGAGACGCAAACTTAAGTGTAGTGTAACCAGAGGAGTTCATGCTAACTCTTAAACTAACGTTACATGGAAGCAAGCAACATGCAGCAAATGGAAATAAGTTAACGTAATTTTGCCATCCTGTCTTTCAAATAGTTGTTTTATGTGGTATTCAGCATGAGAAAAGAAGCGTCTTACCTTTATCTCCCTGAATTGCAGTGGATGGTTGTCGCGAATATAAGCGAACATGTTAGACGTGTTCCTGTGTTTAGCAGCCACTTTCCGTCCACATGTTTTACACAAAGGGAAACCGTCTTCGATCAGCAATCCCTCTACATTTTTTTGAAACCCAAAATATTTCCAAACCTCTGGCTTTACCATTTTTGAAGGGGGATAAATTCTTCGTGTGAGGATTAGAGTGCGGTTGCAGCGGCGGCGCGCACTGCGTGCACACAGTGCTTCTACATGTGGGGATTGTTTACATCAGGGTGCGCATCAGTTCTGCGCAGCATATACGCAGTGTTTCTTCAAGCGGTTGATGGAAAATAAGCTAAAGGGGGATAAATTGTCGGCAGCGTTCCTCCTTCCGCCATACTTCTTCTTCGTGTGAGGATTAGAGTGCGGTGGCAGCGGCGGCGCGCACTGCATGCACACAGTGCTTCTACATGTGGGCATTGTTTACATCAGAGTGCGCATCAGTTCTGCGCAGCATATACGCAGTGTTTCTTCAAGCGGTTGATGGAAAATAAGCTAATGCACGTTCTAAAAATATAAATTCGGATCTATTATTTTTCACGGTATTTTGAAGTGCCCGCGATAACAATATCGTGCATATTCATTACCGTGATTTATCGCATTACCGAAAACCGGCACAAGCCTACTCTCAATTAAACAGCACATGGGAAATATTTGAAGAATTAAAATGTCACAGGAGGGCTTATAATATTGTCTTCAGCTGAATATTATACAGACCTCATTATCTGATATATTTCAGGACAAACTGAAAGTGAAGCTGGGATCACGGTCTATGAAGACGTCAACCCTGAAGGCCCTGCAAAGGTGAGCAGCTTATTTCCGTCTTACCAATCAGACATCTCAATGTTTTCACATCCAGACAAATCTGCGAGAGGACTCTCTCTAAATACAGCAGTGAAAATAAGTATTGAACAAGATGTCATGCTTTTTCCTGGGAATAATATCTCTAAAGGAGCTGTTGACAAGGAATTGAACTAGATTTGGGCAAAAACCTCAAACAATACTTTATTTAAAAGGCTTTTTTGGTAATGTCAGCTTGAAGACGTCTCTCATATGGAGAATTAAGCCACATGCATTGCTCAGGTGCGAGTTTCTCACTGACTTCAACAGAGAATCTTGCTGCTTCTGTGGGTCTCGCAATGGTGTAGCGGATTAGGGGGCCCTGCGTCATCGCAATTTTCAATAATTGAAAATCCGGCAACCGCATCAAACTCTTGGGAACAACTGTGGTCGGAACCAAAGTTCACAGGTCTGTGTTCTCTGAACTTCTCTCAAGCGGTGGACTACTCCATTCTGATTGCTTGCCGCCGAACCGCGTCATATCATACCATAAAGTTTACTTGATTTCAAGTCTCCTCGACGCCCACATGGGAGAAGACGCGCCGTGCTGTTACTCGCCGCCGATTGTCATTGAAAATGATTGACTTCTGGCTACTTTGACGCTCTCGCCACTTCCGGTTTGTGATCGCTCCTCAGTTTGTGAAGGCTTCCACGTGTTGTCGCTCCACCCCGCCTCCCTTCCCCGCTCCTCAATTAGTGATCGTTGTCGTCTCCAACCCCCCCCTCCTTATCAGAGGGCCCCGTCAGTGATCCCTGCAGGAGGGCCTCCGCTTTTTGCGCTACACCACTGGGGTCTCGTCTATCAAATCTGAGCTTTATTTTGTATTCTCTATTGGATTCGGCTCAAGTGATTGGCTGGGCCATTCTACAGCTCATTATCCTGCTGAAATGTCCACCCTGGATTCATCTTCATCCTCCTGCTAATGTAGATGTAGGACTGAAGCAGCTGCTATTCATTTACACAGAGGAGGGGCAAAGGGTTGCTGAAGAACTACTGAGAGATTTCAGCTGCTGTCTGGGCATTCACTGCCCAACTACACCTCCCTTTCTTCATGTGTTCAATGATATTTCCCTGCTTCATTTTATTTCATTACACAGAACTTCATTAGTTTTGTTTTCTTTATGGATTTCTGTGGTTGTTATAAACATCCGGGGAAAGTTTCAAGTCAACAGCACCTTTAGAAATATTTAGAAATGGTGACGTGATCAATACTTGTTTCCCCCGCTGTACTTCCTAGACACAGTTGTTTATTTAGATGCATACCAGCGTGATTATTAGAACAGAAATGAGGAAATGTGTCCAGCAGCTCACCTGATATGATCTGCATTACAGAAGCGAACTGAAAGTGTTGTGAACGGGATGTCCATTTATGAAACAGTGGACGACATCAAAGTCGATAAAAACTTGGTGAGTACTCAATTTATACTTTCTCTGGCCACTTTATAAGGTCTTCCTTAATAGTACCAGATCAGAAACACTTTCGCCTTCAGAACTGCCTTAAATCAGTGTATTGAATAAGTAAGGACAGTTGGAAGCAGGCCCAGATTGGTTAATCGGGAGGACCGAGAGAATTCCCGATGGGCCGATCTGTTCTTTGGGCGCGAGGGCTGGTGTCCCTAGCTTATTGTACTCTCAGTAGTCTTACTTTTTATTTATTTATTTATTTATTTGACCATATTCTCACTCTTTTATTCATTATTTTGCTGCAGCTTTGCTCTTTTTATTTATTTTCTCGCAGCCCCGTGAGCAAAATGCAGCCTGCAGGTTAATTACGTGACTATCATTCGACCCCAAACAGCGGCACCTTAGTGAATATAAGAATTCGTATAATTAATATTAATGAATTTTACTGTGGTTAAAAGAGTCTTGCAGATGACAGTGCAATACTTATTTTTTCCTCCAACCTCACCAGCATAATAGCAACATTGTGGTCCAGCGGTCAGCACAATGCGTTACAATGTCGTCGACCCAAGTTCGAATCTCACCAGAGTATTTTTTTTTTCATTTTTAGTGTTAATACATATAATACTGTTTAGGTTACATATGTAGGTGTACATATTTTATTTTTATTTTTTTGTGTGACCACAATTACAAAGGACTGGATATTTATAAAGAATTTAGCACAGAACATTTATTCAGATATTGAAGGAAAAGACGTTGTGATGTTTTAAAGAATACTGTTGGAGATTTAGCTACCCTTTAATGTTCTCATATTTATGAAAAACATTTGAAGTTCTAAAGCAGCCGAGTCCTTGAAAAAGACGTGACAGTGTCATTAGAAACTGAATTGGAAATGACCTTATTTTAATATAGTCAGTTGTGAACTGAGGTGGGCCGATCTAACGCACCATTCACACGGGGCGTCAGCGTCAACACTTCCTATTCACTTTGAATGAGTGACGTCAGGCGTTGCCGAACTGCATTGTGGATTCTTCCGCACCACTTCAGAGGTGTTGCTTGCGGCAGAAGTTGGGACTAGCTCAACTTTTCAAGCGCCGACGGAAGCGTCAGCCAATCAGATCGCTGTATGCAAATACACCAGCTAGACAGTGGCCTATTGCTGACTGAATTTCATTGGCTGACACTGCTATGATGATCGCGTCAGCCCCAACTTCAGACACGCCTTCAGTCAAGCGCTGACGCTGAAGCCACGTGTGAATGGGGCATAAGGCTTGAAACTTCAGGGCTGAAAAGGAGTCTAACTCCGGCCCTGGTTGGAAGTAACACACACCGAACGTGCACATTCACATGCTATTTACAATGAAATGATTCAGATTGAGCTCTGTTTCAAAACTGGAAATCAGCGACAAGCAAAACTTTTTTACATGAGCTTAATTTTTAATCAGTATTTCTAGTAAACTCGATGTGAATCATCAGCAGACACATACACAAAAGCTAGACAGACAGACAGACAGATAGGAGCAGCAGAAAGAGTTTGGTTCATTCATTTTCATTTCCAAACATCCATACACAGTCACACACATGCACTAGAGCCAATTTAGCTGATCAATTCCCCTATAGCGCATGTGTTTGAACTGTGGAGTAAACCCACGCCAACACGGGGAGAACATGCAAACTCCACACAGAAATGCCAACTGACCCAGCCAGAAATCGAACCTTCTTGCGACAGTGCTAACCACTGAGCCACCGTGTCGCCCAGCATAAAGTGTTTAGTTCTGACTCATCAGCTGTGCAGCTATTTTATTTTAGTTAACCCAGATCAGTTTGACACAACTTGCCTTAAAGGAACTTTGGTAGAATCTAGCATCCCTACATCCATTTGTCATTCACACCCACGTCAAGCAAAAACTGTGCTGAAATCTCGCATTCAGACTATTCGTGCAAAATACAAAACGCTAGAGATGGTTGTGTAGGAAAACCCAGTAGATCAGCAGTATCTAGAACACTCTGACCAGCCTGTCTGACACGATAACCAAGACAAAGGTCACTTCTCCATTCTGAAGTGAAGTGAGAAGTAGTGAAGTGGGTATTGTCGAGTATGCTAAACCACACTTCAAATTGGCCGTCTGCTTTCAACCCAGCCAAGTACCCATACACACACACGACTGAAAAGTTAGAGCATGCACACACACACACACACACACAAAAACACACACAGAGAGAGAGAGAGCAGTACATTCACTCCCACTATCATCAATTCCTGCAACCTTTCAATTACTAGTCTAAATCAATATGCATTAAGCCACAACTGCCCCTATAAGCTCAGCTTGAACGACAGAAGATCATTGTGATCATGTTTACACCATAAATGCATCGAGCTGCAGCCAAAGCAAAAAGTTTAATAATATCTGCCAAGATATGCTAAAGAGATGTACCTAATAAAGTGGCCAGCGATTAATCCATCACTGTTCTGCTTCATACTTGAAGTCCTCTCAAGCTTGTGCTTATAAACATAAGTGTGCATTTCATAGCAATTTAGCATTTGACAAACATTTGTAAGATTATTTAGTCTGGAATTATCCCTTAATCACCATAAAAACATCCGAGATTTTTATTCCCTTATATTTTTTCCGTTCTGTTCAGGCTGATTATTATACACACACTGGTGCTTTGTGTGTAGTTTTTATTTACTCATTATTGTTTGGTCACACTTTATTTTGATGGTCTGTTTGTTGAATTTAAGTTACACTGCATCAATGTGCCAACTAATTCTCATTAGATTATAAGTAGACTGTTGGGTTGGGGTTAGTGTTAGTGTAAGTTGTACCAAAATAGCAAAACCATTTCTATATTTATTGAATAGGCAAGTTCTTTACAATACTTTAAAAATACTTCAAAATGTCTCAGTCAATGTTTTCAAACTATTATATTTGATTTACCAAAGTCACACAAATGGTAATTTCACATCCGTCACATCCATAACAAAAAAGTGTCACATCCATAACAAAGCTTTTCTCTAAAAAATGCAAATGTCAAAATAAAATAAAATGAATCATTTTTGTTCTAAGAAAAGGCAACTTTTCTCCTTCTGATGAGCATTATTTATTATGGGTTTTGCAGTTTAATTCACTGAATTTCTACAAAACATGTTGTATACTGTAAACTCACTGACGTTTTGGTCACATCCATAACGCATGTTTATTTTGCTAATTTAATAGGGGTGTAACGATACACCCAGCTCACGATACGATGTGTATCACGATATAATGTTCACGATTCGATATGTATCACGATATTTGGAATAAAAATTGAAAATTAAACTGAAATGCAAATTTTACCAAGTAAACTATTTTTTATGTATTTCTTTTGTTTCAACTTGTTAAACTGAACCTTCTTTAAGAAAATAAATTAAACAGGCCTGTCTCTGGAAAATAAAACAATTTAAAAACTTCTTAAAAATATTATTGAAATGACAGAGACAAAATTAAGGAACAATTTAAGTAAAGGTGCAAAAAAAAAAAGCTTTCTATTCAATTGAATTTAACAGTAAGAGCTTAAGGCTTTGCTTGGTCACTTGCGTTTTTTGTGTGTGTAAAAAAAATCCACATTTCCAGGTATTTAATTCATATTTAATTAAATTCATTTAGAGATATCTCTAATTACAATTGTGAAAAGTCAAAACTCATTTAGAGATATCTGCAAATATTTTTCAATGGAAGTCAATGGAGGAATATGACTAGTCATAATATATTTGCAGATATCTCCAATCTGATTTCGTACTAGTACAATTGTAATTGCAGATATCTCTAATTGTCATTCTGACTAGTCGAATTATAATTATGACTAGTCAAAATATAATTAGAGATATCTCTAAATATATTTATGGATAGTCTGAACAAAGGTTTAAATGCTAAAACGGCTTGCCATATGCGCGCGTCTATCAAAGTCCGCCCTCTGTAGTAACAGCTCACGTCATGTGTGATTTTGCGGCGGGAACATTATATGAAGACAGAATGATATTTTAGGGTGAATTGTACCTTATAAATACAGTATGTGCCTCTTTCAACACCATAAAGAGGTTTCCCTGTCGCTGTGCAAAGTATGTAAATCACTGTGAAGACTTTAAAACTTAGGATGTTTGACCCAGTATGCGTGTCGAAAAGCGGACGAGTCTAAAGCAATGACTGTACAACCGAAATGTTGCCTGACGTCTGATTTTAAGAGGATGGGCCATCCTCTATTTCAGCTCCACTCATCTTGGTCTGCTAACATTACTGCTGCTGCAATCTGAACTCACGTGCGACAGCAGGTGGAACGCAGCTCACGTGCAAACAGCTCAACTAATAAGAGAAAACAGACGTCATATCGTAATCAAATCGTCATAACGCCACGATGCATATTGTGACACTTTTGCATCGCAATAAATTGTACAACGATAAATCGTTACACCCCTATAATTTAAAGTATAAAAAATATTCACAGATTGAAATGTTTTGATCCCATAACTCTGTGGTGAGTTGTTTTGGAAAATATAAACCGATGTTTCAATAAGATGTTAACGTATACTTTTTCTGTATATTATTGTTTTGAACTTTTACTGCAAAGGTCACATCCATAACGCTGGAATCAGCCATATACAACATTTAAACTCATTCTTAGGAATTGAATACGACGAGGACAATAATTTCAGCGGTCTGCTAGATGAGTGTGGTCATTTACGGTCATTAATGACTCAGAGCTGCTTCACATTTCTCTGGAACCTGTAGTAACGTCACTCTCTCTACTCCCCCTGCAGCCTCAAACCATCTATGACAAACTCAACTATCAACGTCACCCAACCGTCACCGCCAGCACTTCCTCTCCCTACCAGGAAGTCTTGTGAGACAGACACAGAGAGAGAGAGAAAACCAGAAAAGGACAGACGGACACACTTTAAAGGGATCGTTCACCCAATAAATGAAATTCACCCACAATTTATTCTCTCTCAGGTGGCTACAAACTGTAATGAGTGCCTTTCTTCTGTTGAACACAAAAAAGATCTCACAGGAAAAATAATCACAATGCCAAATATCATCCATAGCCAAGATGTATTCAATTATTTATTTGATGAGGACTGAGTTATTTCACATCTGATTGCTCAATTTCTGCACCTGATTATTACTTATTACTCTCAGGCCCTACTCACACTATGCCATCCGTACCGTGCCCAGGCCCGTTTCCCGGATCGTTTGAGAAGTGTGAGTGCGCTGAATCGGGCTCAAGCACGGTTCACTTGGCCGGCCCTGGCCCGGTTGGAAGAGGTGTGTCTGAGCGCGGTTCACTTGGGCTTTGGCACGGTACGCTTGTGTGTGAGTGCAAAACCAAAGCCCGAAACTAAAAGCAAGACGTGACTTTAAGGGGCTGTTTCATATGGATTTATTAATCATTCTTACTGTTCAGTGAACGCAAACTGCCGTAGTTCATTAAAGACGAGAACTCCTCACTGCACGACAGCTGCATCTTCAGAAGACCTCCTCATTCCTGCAGCACGAGGACATCATGATTGTTTATGAGCGCCAAAAGTGGCGACCTTTTCGGCGAAATATCTGACTGCGTGTCACTGCATCCCTAAGGACTGTTTGGCGAAATATTTGACTGCATGTCACTGCATATCAAACCGACTGAAACGATATAACTAGAGAAATCTCCACTGTGCTGCTGAGTGAGAGAGCGCTTCTCACTGAACAGTGCAGCATCGATGACGTAAGCGTGCCAAGGCCCGTTTGTGGTGTCAGCGCGGGCCGTCGGGGGAGACGGGAGGGAGGGAGGACAAGCGTGCTTTGGCCTGGGTCGAGGCAACTGTACATAGTGTGAGTACAGCCTCAGAGGAAAGCAGAGAGCGCTGTTCATTTGTATCTTTGCTTTGTTGAATTTATATATGCTTGTCATTGGTTTTACTTTATTTACAAGCACTATCCTACAAAATCATCCCAATCAATCTAAACATATTTATTATTTTAATAGAGCTGATTCAGTCGTCTGGTGCAACTGTATTCATATCACAATATATATTAAAAGAAAAGTAAATATCGCAATGTCTGTTTTTTCCAATATCATGCAGGCCTATTAACAACACTGTAGACAAAACAGACGGACAGACGGACGGACAAAACAGACAGACTGATGGCTGGATAGACAAAACAGATCGACAGACAGGCAAACAAACAAATGAACAAACAAAACAGAAAGAGACAGATGGACAAACAACAGACAGTCGGGCGGACATACAAAACAGACAGACAGATGGATAAATAGGCAAAACAGATAAGAAAAAGAGAACGACAGATGCATGGACAAACAAAACCGACAGAAAGACAAACGGATGAACAAAACAAACAGAGGGACTGAACAACAGACATACAGATGGACAAAACAGACATACAAACAAACAGATAGATAAATAGACAGACAGACAAAACAAAGAGACTGAAAAACAGGCAGATGAATTTGACAAACAAAACAAGACATACAGACAGACAGAGGGATGGACAAACTAAACAGACAGACAGAGAGACAGACAGACGAATGGACAAACAAAAAAAGAGACAATGACAGACAGAGGGATGAACAAACAAAACAGAGACAGACGGATGAGAAAACTAAACAGGCAGACAAATAGACAAACAAAACAGACAGACAGGGAGACAGACAGACGAATAGACAAACAAAAGAGACGGGCAGACGGACAGACAAAAGGACAAACAAAAAAGAAAGATACAGACAGAGGGATGAACAGACAAGACGGACGGACAGACAGACAGACAGACAGACGGACGGACAGACAGAAGGACAGGACGAATGGACAAACAAAAGAGACAGACGGACGGACGGACAGACACACAGACAGATGCACAAACAAAACAGGCAGACAGACACAAACAGACACACAGACTAGACATGGGACGATAACCGTTTTCAAGGTATACCGCCGTTTGGAAAAGTCAAAGTTTTAAAGGTATTTATTATTTTAATAGAGCTGATTCAGTCGTCTGGTGCAACTGTATTCATATCACAATATATATTAAAGGAAAAGTAAATATCGCAATGTCTGCTTTTTCCAATATCATGCAGGCCCATTAACAACACTGTAGACAAAACAGACGGACAGACGGACGGACAAAACAGACAGACTGATGGCTGGATAGACAAAACAGATCGACAGACAGGCAAACAAACAAATGAACAAACAAAACAGAAAGAGACAGATGGACAAACAACAGACAGTCGGGCGGACATACAAAACAGACAGACAGATGGATAAATAGGCAAAACAGATAAGAAAAAGAGAAAGACAGATGCATGGACAAACAAAACCGACAGAAAGACAAACGGATGAACAAAACAAACAGAGGGACTGAACAACAGACATACAGATGGACAAAACAGACATACAAACAAACAGATAGATAAATAGACAGACAGACAAAACAAAGAGACTGAAAAACAGGCAGATGAATTTGACAAACAAAACAAGACATACAGACAGACAGAGGGATGGACAAACTAAACAGACAGACAGAGAGACAGACAGACGAATGGACAAACAAAAAAAGAGACAATGACAGACAGAGGGATGAACAAACAAAACAGAGACAGACGGATGAGAAAACTAAACAGACAGACAAATAGACAAACAAAACAGACAGACAGGGAGACAGACAGACGAATAGACAAACAAAAGAGACGGGCAGATGGACAGACAAAAGGACAAACAAAAAAGAAAGATACAGACAGAGGGATGAACAAACAAAACAGACAAGACGGACGGACAGACAGAAAGACAGGACGAATGGACAAACAAAAGAGACAGACGGACGGACGGACGGACGGACGGACGGACGGACGGACGGACAGACAGACAGACAGACAGACAGATGCACAAACAAAACAGGCAGACAGACACAAACAGACACACAGACTAGACATGGGACGATAACCGTTTTCAAGGTATACCACCGTTTGGAAAAGTCAAAGTTTTAAAGGTATTTATTATTTTAATAGAGCTGATTCAGTCGTCTGGTGCAACTGTATTCATATCACAATATATATTAAAGGAAAAGTAAATATCGCAATGTCTGTTTTTTCCAATATCATGCAGGCCTATTAACAACACTGTAGACAAAACAGACAGACAGACGGACGGATAAAACAGACAGACTGATGGCTGGATAGACAAAACAGATCGACAGACAGGCAAACAAACAAATGAACAAACAATACAGAAAGAGACAGATGGACAAACAACAGACAGACGGGCGGACATACAAAACAGACAGACAGATGGATAAATAGGCAAAACAGATAAGAAAAAGAGAAAGACAGATGCATGGACAAATAAAACAGACAGAAAGACAGACAAACGGATGAACAAAACAAACAGAGGGACTGAACAACAGACATACAGATGGACAAAACAGACATACAAACAGACAGATAGATAGACAGACAAAACAAAGAGACTGAAAAACAGGCAGATGAATTTGACAAACAAAACAAGACATACAGACAGACAGAGGGATGGACAAACTAAACAGACAGACAGAGAGACAGACAGACGAATGGACAAACAAAAAAAGAGACAATGACAGACAGAGGGATGAACAAACAAAACAGAGACAGACGGATGAGAAAACTAAACAGACAGACAAATAGACAAACAAAACAGACAGACAGGGAGACAGACAGACGAATAGACAAACAAAAGAGACGGGCAGACGGACAGACAAAAGGACAAACAAAAAAGACAGATACAGACAGAGGAATTAACAAACAAAACAGACAGACGGACAGACAGACAGACAGACAGACAGACGGACGGACAGACAGACGGACAGACAGACGGACAGACAGACAGACAGACAGACAGACGAACGGACAGACGGACGGACAGACGGACGGACGGACGGACAGGACGAATGGACAAACAAAAGAGACAGACGGACGGACGGACGGACAGACGGACGGACAGACAGACAGACAGACGCACAAACAAAACAGACAGACAGACACAAACAGACACACAGACTAGACATGGAACGATAACCGTTTTCAAGGTATACCGCCGTTTGGAAAGGTCAAAGTTTTAAAACCACCAACAATTTCTGCTCTACCGTTTACAAACAAAACAGACAGAGACAGACAGACAGACAGACAGAGAGACGAATGGACAAATGGCTGCAGTTCACATTTACAGTCTCTCAGTGGACATCTGAGCTTTAGCATTAGGTGTTCTCTCACTGTGTATTAAATGCCTCATGTTGAAACACTCTTTGTATAAATGTTGTATATTTTGAGATCTGTAATGTACATGTATATTTTTACACTCTTCTTTGACATAATAAAAGGTTTTGTATATGCATTACAACTTGAAACAAATCAGCACAATTTGACTAACAGGGTCAGTCTCAGAGAGTTATAAAACATTACTGTGTGGTGTTTTGAGCTTCACACACACTCTCAGGAGACATCAGACACTTATTTTACATCTTGTAATTAAGGGGTGCAATATGTCCCCTTCAACGTCAGAATTATAGCATTGAATGCCATCAAAAATCTACACTTCACAATTCAAACGCATCACATCAGCACTTGCAACAAAACACTGCTGTTTCTACGACATTTAAACGAGTTCACGAGTGTAAATAGTTGACAATCCAGTATCACGTTTGTTTAAGTACCTATTTTCAATTCTCTACCTACAGGGTATATGCAGGAATCCTAAAGGTAATTTCAATACCTTTAAGACTTTTTAAAGACCTTCTCAGAATGTTTTAAGACCGCATCGCCACTTCAAGTTCTAATCAGTATCAAACCTTTAACTTAATAAACAGTTGTAGTTAAATCAATGGAGCACAGAAAAGCTCGAAAGAAACAAACCTTGAAAGAATAAATTACGTGGCTGTTTAGAGACAGGTTTCAGCCTAGGGGTGTCAAAATGAATTGTTTCTTCGGTGCACGGCAATGCAGACGCGGACAATTCGCTATCGGTTCAGTAATAATCATAA